ACACACACACACACCACACACACCACACACCACACACACCACACACCACACACACCACACACCACACGCCACGCCACACCCCGCCCTGCCCTGCCCTGCCCTTTACAACAGGTTGTTTTTTTATATAGTATGTACATTAAGTTTGCATTGTAATATAAAATGATAATTAATGTTTTAGCCGCTGAAGATGAAATATCTTTTGATCCTGATGATGTCATCACAAATGTAGAAATGGTAAGTGGATGCTGAAATGTTTCCGATTACATCTCCGAGCTTGTCAATCATTGCCTCCTCCATCACCTCCAGTATTGGGTAGTTAGCATAAATGATAAGTAAAAATTTTCTTCACAGAATATAGTCTGTGCATTATCTGTGTCTTACACTAATTTGTTATACTAATAGCCAAATGATTAATTTTGAAATCACTTATTGCTATTAATCATCTTCCTTTCTCCATATCTTTTTTATGCTAGTTAATGTTCACTTTAAATGAAGTCTCCTCAAGGTTGATAGTTGGAAAGAGAAGGATCACTGTCATCCAAACTGAAGTTTCAGTATGAAAAATTTCAGTTGTAGAAAACTCCTGATTGGAAGACTGTGTCCCCCTTCCCTTCTAGCTCATGCTCTTGAAGAGACACTGCAATTAAATGGAGAATATAGGCTGTTTGGTGAGATGAGTTTGCTTAAAAGCTGTTAAGGATGATTAAGGTACTTGTGTAAGTTTTGCTTAATTTGCATACTCCAAATATTTAAAACATTGGAGCCTTACATTTTTGCATGAATAAGCAATTGCTGGGAAGTTAGCGAATGTTAAAGAGTATTACTGAGTTTCTTCATGTTTAACAGTAAATTGGTCGGTAATAGGGTTTCACTCTCTACACAAGGTTAATAGAGCTGACAATTACCATAATGGCTGTAATAGGATTTCCATAATAAGTAATAACTTCTTTCACAGAAATCTTGACTGAACATAAGGGTATATATTGATCACAAAATATTGCACTTTATAGGCTAACATTTTAAAGCTTGCCAGTATTGTTTATATTTCAAGTTTAAGACAGTTTTACAATTAAATTCTTTTTTTCATTGAAATTTCAGTAATAGAAAAATAGGAGCTTGTTAAAATTGTGAAAAAATTAGAAAGTAAATTGATCTCTACATTTGATCTTAATTTTTTTTCTTCTTTTTTTTTTCTAAAATGAAAATTCATTTTAGATCAGATGTGTGTATGCTAATAATGTATAAACTATGGATGTTAAATATGTATTGAATATTCAAAATTTGAGATATTTTGTAGATAACTAATGTCTTTCATTGGGTCTCATGTGTGATCAATTTTGTAAAATTTTGTCAGCGATTTGATGGAAATGAATAATTTGATAAGATTTCTATTTATACAAATCTTGTTTATTCCATTGCATTAGGAATATATAAATAGAAATTTTTCTTTGTAACCAAGATTTCTCTAAAGAATAAAGCATATTAGAAAAATAGTACCTTGTGACAGACTGACCTTTTGTTGAAAAGGATGATAATTTTATTTGTAGTTTTTTCAGCTCTATGCTGCCTAAACAATAAATATAAAAATTTACTATTATTTTATAATGATAATTAGAGTTAAGTAAGGTTGCTGTAACCCTACTTGCAATAAATGGAGGTTTGAATAGGATGAGTTGATATGTATATAATCTAAGAACCTGCTAGCAAAGGCCATAATTAAATTAGATTATAGATAAAAAAAATTGCTCACAATTAACAAGTAATCACAAAATATCTCAATTAAATAAGAAGTGATGCTATTTTTAAGTAGAGATTTAAATGCTGGGAGAATGACATTACTATGTTAAATGAGTAATTATTTATCATAGTAATCTTAGGATAACAATAAATATTTTGTCTCCTAAATAATATTGAAACGATTATATGCATGGAATTTGAGTAATCTTTCTGTGTATTGTGTTAAAGCTCATGATTAGGGAACGGATTTTCATTTAAATATATATGTATATATTTTTACAGGTTCAGGTTACCTGCATTAAATTTTTAAAATATTTAATTTTATTTTATTATTATTATTATTATTATTATTATTATTATTATTATTATTATTATCATCATCATCATCATCATCATCATCATCATCATCATCATCATCACCATTTTTATTAGTTTGCTTAGCTGAATAAATGAAAACCATTTCTATTTTACACAGTTTTTTCATATTTTGGAAAAATTAATTTTATCTATTACTAAACATATTGTTACATTTTAATATATTTATATGTTAAAACAGAATATCTTGCAAATAAATGTTTTTGGAATCACCTTTCTGTGAAACAAAGTAAAGAAACACTGCGCTTTCTTGCGCAGGGTTCTGTCCCTTCACCATAAATTATCTAACTGACGCTACCCCTGCTTTTCAGAAATAATGAACTCTTTGAACGCTTTTCAGAAATAATGTTTCAATTAGGATGATCTCTCGCAAAGCAGAAGTAATTGTAACCATGTGCTAGCTCATCTTTCATAGAGCTCATAGACTCGATCAACATCTCACAAACATTCCTTATAGAATGCCTTCGAGAGTCTTACCGCACTTCTGCACCCCTGTTGAGAACTAAGTACTCGTGTTCCACAGACACAGAAATGTTATCAATAGGAGGACCGGAAAAGGTGATTCAGGGCATCACTTGATGTCACTGCAGTGCCTCTGACTGGTAGGTCCTAGGAATCATGTCCTGACAGTGGCAGAATTTTTGCCACTTGCTTCAAAGCTCAGTTGAATTCAGCCGCTGTTTGGAAAAGAATCCTAGTGACTAGCTTCTCTGATTGGTAGTTTTCTGTTTCTCCGAGCAACTCCAGATGAAGTATCCTAACAAATAGGCCACATGTGCAATCTGTTTCTCCACCTTGACCTAGCCTCATCTCTTAGTTACACTCTCACACTCTGCATTACACTACTACACCTGTCGGGATCTTAGAGCTTGTCCCGACTGGAGCAGATACCTGGTTAAGAAAAAATTCCCACAAGCTGACATAGATTGGTGTCGGAGAAACTTCCCTATCCAATGAGGAAAGATAACTGCCATCTCCCATGATAAAAACAGGCACTACACTTATGGGTCTAATGACCTGTTGACATGTCTGGAATCATTAATCAATATCAATTGTCATTTGTTTTCACTAAATTGAGTTCAATTACAGACAATGAATTGATTGGGGCAAAAAATAATTACGGTTTAAGGGTTTATGTTTTATGCAGAGTTGACCATTTTAAGACCCTTTTGTTAATGGTATTTCTGCCTTGAAACTAGTAAATAACATGACTGTATCATAATTACTGAAATAATTAACATGTATTGTGTATATGGAAGAAGTCGCCAATAAATGAATATGAAACATATTTCTGAAAATTAAAAGAAAAAATGCGGTTTGTGCTCTAAAATCTTATTTTTTCAACATTCATCTATAGTTTTTTTCTGTTTGAATTTCCCACATAGAAACATCTTTTAATTCTTCATTCGTACTTCATAAGAAGAGCGAGAATTGCAATCATGTGCCGGAAAATGATAAGTTTTTGACAGAAAAACTCATTTCCTGGTCCTGAAAATGAAAAAGTTGATAAAGCTTGTTCCTTCATATAGTATATTACTGCCCTTGTATAGTCAGAATCCGTGCTTTGTGGATCCTTATACTGAAAAATTGATTAATGGCAAAACAAGCCTATACGTCTGTCAGTGTAAATTAACCTGGTTTGAAAAGGAAACTCCTGCTTTGAAATGGAATTTTTTGATTTGGGGGGAACGTTACATGAACATTCAACTTTTCAAAATTTTCTCTCAGAAATATTCTGACACAAATGTCCAATGTTAATCATAAAAAAAACATGAATATTGAGAGTCAGGCAACACGAAGCTGACACCTGAAGCCCCTCTTCTTCTCTGTGCATCTGCTATGACTAAATTGCATGTCACAGGGACAGAGAATTCAAAACATGTAGATGCATTCATTCTATTAAGAATATCTTTCTGTGAATTGCATTAAATTCACAGGAATTCTGTGTTATAAAGTTTTCTTTCCTCTGCAGGACATGAATATGTCCTGCAAATTCATGATAGTGATCAGAGAAAACATGAAAAACTATCAACCACAGTAACTGGCTACTTGAATTCCCCCAAGTTATGTACCTTGTGACAGTAGTCATAGTAGTCAAGTTAGTAGCTAGTGTCTGCTATAGTTGGGACTTGAAACCTAAGACTTCCCAATCAAAAGTTTGTAGATGCAACATAAACAGTGATGGATGTAGCAGGGGAGCATGTCTCCTTTCTCCCCCTCCCTCCCAATAAGTCATTATTTGCAGTAAATCAGTTGACTTGCTTGTCATAAACATTGTACATTAAACATATATATTTCATGTTTCGTAGAATACTCTTATTGTTGGTGAAGGCTATATAGTTTCCAATTACTTCTATGGAGGCAGATCATTCTGTCTATCCTACTCTGTCTGTTTAAAAATTTAAAAATGTTTTTATGAGGCAATTTAAAAAAAGTATTAATTTTTCTATTTTTTCTTACATATTTTTGAAAAAAATAATACATTTACTGTGTATGTATGTATTTTGCATTTTATATTATATTAAATTCCGTTCCCTACTCATGATTATCATGGTTAATAATAGAATTCATAAATATTTCAGTAGTTTGTTTCTTTTGTCATTAATATTTTTGGGATATAATGGAATGTAAAATAGTGAATACAAGGTTTTCAGAATTTGCAGTTATTTTACAGTCAGTGAATATTAATAATTTCAAAAGGCAATGTGAAAAAAAAATTTATTTTCAGTAATATGAAATTTTGTTAATGTTTCAGAGTAATGTATTTTAACCAAAACTAAATTTAAGTAATAATTTTGGGACATCAGTAGCAGAAATAAGATGGAATAAGAATATTGTATCATAGGAGTGAGATTGTATAGTTTTCATATTGTAGTGGAGCAAGCAAGACATTGCAGAATAGTTTTGTGATATCCAAATTAGAAAGATATTTTTTAAATTTTATTAGCTTTTCCTTTCATATTTCTGAGCTGTTCACAACACTTTAAATATCAATCTTGATGTAAGAAACTCCTCCATTTTCTCTGAGAATAATCGTGTTCTTTCATTTGAAAACTATGGCATTTAGTGAACCTGAACCATACAGCTATATAAAACTTTGAATTCAAGAATTCAATTTAAAATAAAATAAAATAAAATAAAAATAATAAAAATAAATAAAATAAAAAAAATAAAAATAAATAAAATAAAAATAAAATATAATAAAAAAAACAACTCCCATTCAGATTTCAATGAAGACCCTAATGAAAAATCTTTTTAATTCCAAATAAAATCATAACATTAGGGTTTAAAATGAACTGAGCATGTTCATTGACACATTGCTTTCAGCATAAACTTGTCAAGAAAGCTTTTCATTACAATTACCCAAACCTTATTTTTAATTGAAAATCACAAAAGATAGTATTCTATACAGATAATTGGGTCAATTTGAATAGTGTTCTGTGAGCAAAATGCATTCACCAGGGAAAACAAATGCTAGGACGTGAGAAGAAGAATTGTGGGATAATATCTTAAGAAATTAACATGCTAAAAAAGCATTTCTTTAACTG